GTCACTCTTAAAAGAAGCCTGTAACATTCAATGTAAACATGGCAATGTAAAAGCAGGTTGTCATCATACGCATCACCAGGTGAATTGAAAAACGTTTATACATGATTTCTAAAATTAGATTTTACTATGCACAAAATATATACAACTGGAACTGTCTGGGAGTTACAGGTTCTTCAAAATAAAGCAAAGTCAACATTAAATTCCATGAAAGAATGTATAGAAAGAAAAGTTATTATAAATATGTTTAAAAATATCTTAACATTTTAACTTACCCTTTCATGACAGAAACAGCATTTTTGGTGATTTAATTCCTGATTCAAATATCACAAGTTTTACTCAAGGAAAGAAACATGAATGCAGAATTTCATAAAAATAATTTATTTTAAGATTATATGGGTCTTTTTAAGATTATATGGGTCTTTTTAAAATTATATGGGTCTTTTTAAGATTATATGGGTCTTTTTAAAATTATATGGGTCTTTTTAAAATTATATGGGTCTTTTTAAGATTATATGGGTCTTTTTAATATTTGAAATGTACATTTATTTACCACAATTTCAATCGGTCAGTGTCATGAAATAAAATTATGAGAAAACGGTGAATATTCAGTACATAAACTATTTTTTATGAGCTGTAATCCTACCAAGTTAAACAAGCATCACCTCTATGGGATGAGGGAGTAAAAGAAACAAGTTTGTTTTTTTTCAATCATACAGATACGGAGAGATGTTAAAACATTTTCTTAATAATACCCAGCTGTGTATTTTGTCTATAATAATATAACAGTAATAAACTATTCAACAATAACCGGTTTGTATTTTTTGAAACTAAATTAATGTTATTACAATACATACCTTTAATATTTATAATGCTGCATTTTACTAGAAACCCAAAGAGAAGAGGAGGATGGGTCGTTAATATGAATAGAAAGCATCCATTAGAAATTATTCACGGCTTTAAATCCCCACATACCTAGAAAAGCACTAATAACACGGGCCTGCGATGGTTTTATTGTCTTGAAATTTTTACACATTCTACAGTAATTCCTGTATGCTGAATCCAAAATATCCATTTTTTTCTCCATCACGTACAGATTTTTCACAAAATGTCACACGTATTTTTTTACATACACGAATCATTTTCATTGAAATTGGGTCACTTTGTTATGCTTAAAATGTTTACAACCACTGGATATAGATTTCTCTAGACCAACTGCAAGGTGAGAGTCTTATCGATTGTCCTAGAACCCACGAGAAACACTGCTAGTAAACAGAAAAAGCAGAATAACAAAATTAAGTTAGGGAAGGAAGCTATGTAATAGACATACAGAAATTCTTGCTCAAATGAGCAGAGGCACAAGAAATTTTGATGGGAATGACAGTCATTTAATGGTAATACAAAAGCTTTAATTCTCAAAGGTGTGCTTAATGTTATAACAAGATCAAAAGAATAAGGTGAAACAAAAAACAGCCTAAATCTTAAGAAAGAAACATGTTACACAGGTTTTTTAGTCTGTTGACTTACATTGTAAAAGCTTATTACCTACATACATGTTTTATCCCCCCCCAAAAAAAAAAATTTATGTGGGAACCCATGAATCAAACCCTGGATTTCAGTGTTGTAACTCCATAAACTTACCTCTGTCCCACAAGAGGACTGTTCAAAAGGAAATATTTGGGTCAAACTCTTGTACAAGACAAAGATACATTACATATAAGTTTATGTGTTTAGCCAATTATAATCAACATCAATAATGCTAGAGACTAGCTTCTTATATTCATTCAAGCCTAACATGTAGCACAGCAAGTACGCAATTTGTTGTTTCTATACCTCTAGCCACAAATAAAACAGTTGCCTTGTTAGTAAAATGGGCATAACTTAATTAACACACCCACTTTCATGTGCTGTCGAAATGATAGAAAAAAAATAAATAATGAAACAGTAGAAATAAATGCATACAACTCATCAAGACACAAAAGATTATGGCATTCCACAAAACTATAAAACTGATGCTCTTTAATAACTGTTGAATTATATGACCACTACAGTCAACCATTCAATTCAAAATACTCTCCAATGGCTGATCATTACTCACATTTTATGGTGATAAATAATATCAATTTTAAACTAAGCTCTTACACATGTAGTAATAACATAACACTAAAAAATGATAGTGGCAATTTTAATGTCAGTGACAGTTTATTTGAATATAAGCATACAATCATACATTGTACCGAGTACAGTAACAAGATTTATACAATAAAGGAGTACAAAATCATAGGTCTTCTTTCGTGTAAAAAAAATAAATAGACTCGTATCAAACAACATCATAATTTGCTGTATTTAATCGTGAAATATTCTTATGGTACATTTTTACACGGGCTTTTACATCCTCCAGCCAACTAAAGTGAACTTGTTTCGGAATGGTTAATGTATAAACCTGTTCTTGAAATTATATTTGTTACTCAACAGCTGTTGGAGGTTACACTAATACATTCCTGATGATCCTGAAATATGGCTTGTAGATTTTGATGTTATCTACTCAACAGCTGTTGGAGGTTACACTAATACATTCCTGTTGATCCTGAGATATGGCTTGTAGATTTTGATGTTATCTACTCAACAGCTGTTGGAGGTTACACTAATACATTCCTGATGATCCTGAAATATGGCTTGTAGATTTTGATGTTATCTACTCAACAGCTGTTGGAGGTTACACTAATACATTCCTGATGATCCTGAAATATGGCTTGTAGATTTTTTTGTTATCTACTCAACAACTGTTGGAGGTTACACTAATACATTCCTGATGATCCTGAAATATGGCTTGTAGATTTTTTTGTTATCTACTCAACAA